AGAATGGAACCTCTCCCTATCACCACACACAAAAATCAACTCTAAATGGATCAAAGACCTAAACGCAAAACTTCAAACTATAAGAATCTTAGAAAACACAGGAAACACGCTTACAGAAATTAGTAAAGGTAACCGATTCCTGATCAAAAGCCCATGCCATAAGAGATGATGATACAAAAGTGAGAACTCATCAAACTGAAAAGCTTCTGCAAAGCAAAAGAAACCATTAATAGAGTGAGGAGACAGAACACAGAATGGGAAAAAATATTTGCCAACTGTATATCTGACAAAGGCCTAACATCTAGGATCTACAAGGAATGCAAATATACCAAAAGGAAAAAAACAAACAGCCCTATTAAAAAGTGGGCAAAAGATATGAATAGATACTATTCAAAAGAAGACATACAAGCAACCAACAGATACATGAAAAAATGCTCAGCCTCAATCATCATCAAAGAAATGCAAATTAAAACCACACTGAGATATTACCTAACTCCAGTCAGGATGGCCATCATTAATAACTCCAAAAACAATACACGCTGGAGAGGATGGGGAGAAAAGGGAACACCTACACTGTGGGTGGGAGTGTAAACTAGTACAACATCCGTGGAAAACAGTGTGGCAATTTCTAAAAGATCTAAGAACTGACCTCCCATACAACCCAGTAATCCCCCTTCTGGAAATACAACCGGAGGAATTCTAATCATTCTGCAAAAAAGATACTTGCACACATATGTTTGTTGCACCATTATTCACAATAGCAAAAACATAGAAACAACCATGCTGCACATCAAAAGTAGACTGGATTAAAAAATGTGGTACATATACATGATGGAATATTGCACAGCCATAAAGAAGGACAACATTATGGACTTCGCAGCAACTTGGATGGTTTTAGGGTCTATCATACTCAGTGATCTATCACAGAAACAAAGAACAGAGTACCACATGTTCTCACTCATAAGTGGATCCTGAACATTTACCATAATACTATAGGGAAGAGATTGGTGCCGGGCTCGGTGGCTCAGCCTGTAATCCCGCGCCTTTGGGAGGCTGAGGTGAGTGGATTGCCTGAGCCCACGGCTTCGAGACCTGCCTGGACAGCGAGACCTCATCTCTACAATAAATCAAAAAATCAGCCGGGCGTGGGAGCACATGCCTGTAATTCTGGCTACTTGGAAGGCTGAGGCGGAAGGATCGCCGGAGCCCAACAGGTCCAGGCTGCGGTGGCCGGGAGCGGCCATTGCACTCCAGCCTGGGTGACAGAGTGAGACTCCAACTCAAAAAAAAAAAAGAGATTGGCAGTAGCAGGACACTTGCAGGGGAGGAAGGGAATATACATAGCATCAATAAGAATACCTGATCCCAAATCAGGTGAAGTAAGGATCATGGGAGGCCCAAACTTCACCTGTATGAAGACCACTTATGTACCTAATCCTGAATTGTACCCCATATCTTTAAAATAAATAATAAAAAAAGAATACTTTTGAAATCCTGTGAGAAATAACAAGCAGTGACAATGAGACCAAAAAGGAGGGGGCAAAGGAAAGGAACAGACCTGAGATGTTTAGAAAATAAAATCAGGCTGAGTGCGGTGGCTCACACCTGTAATCCCAACATTTTGGGAGGCCAGGGTGGGTGAATTATTTGAGCCCAAGAGTTAAAGATCAGCCTGGCCAACAGAGAAAAACCTCTTCAATAAATGAATAAATAAATATCCAGCCGGCAGGCACCTTTAGTCTCAGCTACTCAAGATACTAAGGTGGAAGAATAGCCTGAGCCCAAAAAGTCGAGGCTATCATGAGCTATGATCATTATTATCATGCCACTGCACTCCAGTCTGGGCAACAGAGTGAGACTCTACCTCAAAAAAAAAAAAAATTTAGCACAATTAAGTGACAGATGAGACATAAGAAGTACAAAAGAAAAATTCTGGGTTTAATGTCATTCTTCCTTAAAATAGGGAAGTAGGAAGAGAGAGTTTTAAAAGACAGTGAGGTCCTTTTTGGAACCTGTTAGGTTTGAAGGACCCATTTAATATTCCACTAGGAGGATCCAGTAGGAGGCAATAGTGCCTGGCAGCACAGGTTCTGGAGTCAAGTGCCCTAGGTTCAAATCCAGGTAGAACCACATAAACATGTTAAAGAATGACTTCAAGCCTCAGTTTCCATCTTATAAAAATGGAGGATGTTAATAAAATCATTGTTTTCACAGCATTTTTGCAAGACTAAAATTACATAATGCCTCTCAAGTTCTGAGCAGAGGATTTGACAGACTTATTGCTCAATAAATGCCTACAGCTACTATTTACAGCACTTCTTTCTCACTTATAGGATTTATTTTTATCACATACATCACTTAGGCCACTACAGTGATTCCACCTTGGTTCTGGAAGCACTTATTTCTATAAATTATATTTGGTTGTATACATAGGCATTTATAAAATTTTCAGGATACTTAATATTATACCTTATTTAGAACTGCTGAATAATTTCACTCAAGTCAGCATCATTCTCCAACTTCAGAATATATAATCTTTACTATCTGAAAGTATTATGCATGAGATATGGCCCAATTCCTAAAGAATTCTACTAAATATGTATTTTCAACAGTAAGTAAAAAGCATATAAACAATATGTCAGGTCCTTGAGTATGATAATAATAAAAAAAGGTAGAAAAAAATCCTAGCCAAAATTACAGTCTACACATGTTTTACTAACAAATATTGCAAGGCAGTGTAATAGATGGTAAAAAAGGGTACAAACAAGTGCTACAGAACACAAAAATTGAGCATTAAGAAGTGCATCCTAAAGGATGCTATCTATGATGTGGAAGATAAGTGGAAGTTAGCAGAATAAGGTAGAGAGGTAAAAGTGGGATTTTAACAATAGTGGTTTAGGCAGAGGGAACATTTTCTTCTAACACCTAGAAATGACAGAAAACACAGACTGTTAAAGAAGTTGAAAAAGCTCAGCATACATAAACCATGCAGGGCAAGTTTGGTGTACTGAAGTATGAAGCTTATGACACACAGAAAAGAGATTGGAAGAAACTTGTAAGTCACACTTTGTATGATGCAATTACATGAGATGATGTTTAAAAGTGCTTAGCAAAGTTCCTGCTACAAAGTAAGCACACACTAATTCTTAAACGTTATTCACTTACTATTATCTAATTCTCCCCACTTTTTTGCCACAATTTGCAATCAGACAATATATGCACCAAGAAATCTCTTTCACCAAGTCTTCCTTGCTTAGTTGGTTGCAAGAAAAATAATTTATACAGTACTCATTAAATGTCTTAAAGAGTCTGTTCTTTCATTAGTAAAATGGGAGCAGTAATACTAGCCTTGCAGGCCTACTGTAAGAAATAAAGTGAGCACCAAAAGTTCCTAGAAAAGTGACAGGTCACATATTAAGAACCCCCAAAAATGATCTGTATCAAGATAGATCAGCAGACAAGCCAGAGAAACTAAAAAGTGGGAAATTTGAGCTTCACTATGAGTTTATGTGCCAGGAACACCTTAGAAATAAAGTCACCATAGGACTAACTTCCTTTTATAATAGAACAAAAAGATGCATACACCCCAAAATGTTAACATTATAATAAAAGAATCAATGATACTTTGATGATGTGCATACCTTTTCCTAATATACAAGCTTTTACGAAAAGGAAAAACTAATCTTCTGTAATTCACTTTTTTCATAATTATCTTACAGTACAAGTTATATATATAAAAGAAAATTTTTCAAAAACATTTCTGAAATCCCACTGCCCTAAAACAACTAGTTTTATTTCTTCCCAAGTACTTTCAAGGCAATAATTAGAAGGCTTTTCTACTCTGATTTAAGACTCAGTTCAAATGGATATTGGATTAGTAATGTTTCAGGAATATGCACTTTTGCAAAGGCAAAATAACAATCTCTCTGGGTATATTAAACAAGACAATTTATCATTATTGGATTTATATTTAACCTTCAAGTAGAACACCTGAGATTTTAAAAGAAGCATTCTATATAAACTTTATAGCATGTAATTTTTGTCTGATTCTACTTTCTTATTGACAACCTAAAACATTTATTTCTAGCTACTCTTTCTTCTTACAAATAATCTCATTCAATGGCAGTTAAATTCTAAGAAAATGTTACTGATATTAATCCTAAATGGCAATAAAATATCATAATATATTTGACAAAGAAAGTATCAAGCTGCATCATTTCCTTAAAAGATGAAGAAAATTTTATCCAAAATAAAGAATGGTCTTCAAAGCAAACAAATATCTTTTTACACTATTATACAATTATTATTTCCAGGAAAACATAAGTGAACTGAAGCTTAAGTTAGATTTCCTAAGATAAAACACCTCAATTGAATATAAAAAGCTTATTTTAAATTTTTCCAATTAAAAAAAAAACCCTTCAACATTACTAAAACTATAAATTCAAAGAACATTGTTAGGACTTCTTACAGAGTAGGTTTTGGAAAGAGTTACTATTACAGAAAGAAGAAAAAAAAATTTCATGAATCTTATTCAGTGTCATAAGTGGTACTAAATAGCTCTTAGGGTTCACATAAATGCTCTCAATAATCCCTCATTATGTCTCAAGATCAAGTCATCTAAATTTACTGATGCTAAACGCTCAATTATCATACTAGGAGTATTCCCTGTATGAAGATTATTTTACTGCAGCCTCTTAAGGACACATCTAATTATCCTGGTCCTCATTATTTATCACGTAAAAATGCCAAAGGATGAGCGAAATACACTGGAAATCAAATAAATAAGTGTCCAAAAAACCCAAGAAGTACTAAATGAGCAAATTTTATGTTTTCAGTCTTGAAATGCAGTAAGGTAAAATCCATTAGTTTTTAAAATAATCTCAACTATTTGATGACTATCTGTGTAAGAAATATTTACTACCTCTCTGCCAATCTACCTTCCAACAAAAAGTAAAATCTAGGTATACAACAAGCAAATTAATTTCACAATGAATTTAAATACCAATTCTTCAACTGATTTCAATTGACCAATTACACCTCTTATGTAGAAATTTCCCAAATAACATCATTCAGCTTTGGCTGCTATATGCATACCTCTTTCTTCATCGCCAACAACATTTTCTAAAATCTCTAGTAGTAAAACCTACCTTTGAGGTTCTTTGAAGTTGATCACCAACATATGTTTTACGAAACTGATCCAAGAACCACAGAATTGCAAGCTCTATTTTCTCATTAGAACATTGAGGCAATCCAGTATCCATTAAAGATATAAGCTGAAAAACTCTTTTCATGAAGGAAAGAAAAAAAAAGCTTCAGTAAAAAACCTTAGAGAAATGTTATTAAAGCATTTATCTTAAATTTAATGTAATATTAAATCACTATAAAAAGTGGAAAAATACAAAAGCATACTAAAAATATTTTTAAATAATCTGAAATTCTACCATTGATTTGATCTAACGCTTCTAGTCTCTTTGTCATAGGACATACACACACATGCACATAAATACAAAAGTATATATGTATATGCAGATAGTATTTTACCAGAAATTTATATATATAAACACATGGCATACACATATATGGTATACACCCACAGCTGTAAGTATATGTAAGTCTATATCTATACGTTTTTAGTAAAAGAAGAGTTATATTAAATATGCAGTTTTATATTTCACTTTTTCACTTAATCTTATATTTTTAAATAACTCAGTATTGGGGTGGTCATATGATTCAATGTTCAAAAAAATCAAGAGGTATACCTATCAAAATGTACATCATTCTTTAATTAGTAATTTAAAATTTCACCTAAAATAAAATACAAGATAATCTTAACAATATCAAATATTTCTAACATTGGTTAAACTGTTATTTAACTCATTATTTATCAGAAAATCATACATTTTCTATTTATCATTAGAAACTATTATTGGAAAATCTTAAATGAACTGAAAGTTAAATTACATAGAGAAAAAGCTTAATTCAATATAATAAAAAGTTTAGCACAGAATTTCAAAAAAAATCCTTCAACATTATCTAGTTTCATTAAAATTTTCTGGTGGATGGCTGCTGTACCTTGCACTAAAAAATCAGTACACTATAATAATTTTTTATGAGACATAAGTAGAGGTTGTTGAGGAAGCAGCACTTTTTTCTAATTAGCACAAAGGCAGCTATGCCTAGCCCTGACCCACTCAGCTTCTTCCCTGTATGTATATACACACATATACAAGTACATACACATTGCTAATAGTTTATAGGTCCTTTCAGAGAATTTTTAGTGTACGTACAGGTAAATTCAACTCAAGTCTCCTCCCAATCCTTTAAACACAGGAGCAAGAAGATCAGGAAGATGGCGGCCGAGTCAGTCAGACTATGCACGTGGCAGTGTGAGTGAATTTATGAAAAAATTTGTATGCATGAGTGAGCAAGTGAGTGTGTGAGTAGCTGCCTGAGTGAGAGCTAGGGAGCTAGCAGTCAGGGCTCTCCTGGTGCAGTGGCTGGTGCTTCGGCTGCTGGGTTTGGACCCTCGTGATTCCCAGGGCACAGAAGCATAGCACCGTTTTCTTTTTTCTTTTCTTTTTTAAATCAACAAAACCCTTCCTGGGAAGAAAATGCTGGGAGAGACTGTTTAAGTGGGGGCTCAAGAGCAAGTGGCCAGGTCGTTGGTGCAATAGCTGGTACTGCAGCTTCTCTGCTTGGTCTCTGGCTCTTCCCAGGTCGAAGAAGCTGAGAGCCATTTTTGTTTTTTTAAGGGAGACAAGTTTCCCTGTGAAAAGTAGCGAGGAGAGACTATCACCCCAGGCTCTCCCTCGCCATTGACAAGAGAGATTGCTGACCGCAAGCTTTGCCTCACCACTTCAATACATAGCAGGGCACTGGCTGCAGGGGCTGCAGAGGGAGTTCAGAGGCAAAGTCCCACAAAAAAGGACAAGAGAGGCACCCCACCACCATCTTGAAGGTCAGGCAGGGAAGTGCTCAACTTGCTCACCATGGAGCAACAGACCCGATCTCTGTGACTGGCGGATCAACTACTCAGGGATTGATCGTGACCAAGAGGAATATCCTGAAAGCACAAACTTCAGAGGGACCTGATGAGTGGTGAGTTTCAGGTGCCCTGCTCCTACCCTGATCCAGCAGTGGGACAAAGGGTGTGGCCAGAAAAGGATGAGGAGCGATTCCAAACAGATCAGTGGTGAGTTTGGGGCTGACCCCTCCTCCCAACAATCATCTGAACATCAGACCCACATAGCTGGGTCATAACTGAGAGGGATAAACCCAGGTGGAACCTGGACGTCAGTCACAACAGAACTCCATTCCAGGATAGGCCTGGTTGGGGCACCTCCTGCGAGTTACATACCTGGGGAAGACAATCCCGTACCTCCCCACTGGAGGAGATTGACCACAAGAGAGTGGGAAGGGAGGACTGTAGCCCCACCCACCTCCACTGCCTCTCCTCCTTCCCTGATCCAGACACTTGAGAGAGTGAAAGAGGTGGCTCTGCAGGAGAGATCTGATTAGAGGAACAATTACAGAGCCTGCCACAAGAGGGAAGGTTTTTTTTTTTTAATTTTTAAAAATTCTTTGTTTGGTACTTCATCTATTCTTTAAATAGTTTTCCTTTGTGCATGAATGTGTATGTGAGGGTTTGATGTGCATCCCCCCAACATTTTTTTTCTTTTTGTTTCTTCTTTTATCTGTCGTTTTCTGTTTATGTGTGTACATGAATGATTGAGTGTTCATCTTTCAATTTTGTTGTTGCTGTTGGTTTGTTTTTACTCTTTTGTTCTTCTGGGTTTATTTTCATTTTTTATAGTTTAAGGTGTGTGTCAATATATGTGTGAGGGTTTGATCTGAATTCCTTTTTTCCTTTTTTTTCTTCTGATCTTTCTGTTTTTCTTCTCTATTCATTTTGTGCTAGGCATGTGTGTGTGTTTATTTTTCTTGGTGTTTTGTTGTTGTTTGTTTTGCTACACATTGTTGTTATTCCAGTTTCTTTTGGGGTGTGTATCTCTGTGTGTGTGTTCAGTTGCTTTTTGCATTGGTTTCTGCTTACTATTGGCATATGAGTGGTGATGGGGAGTAGGTCTCAGGGAACACATACCACAATAAGTGACCATTGTAATTTGCAAGTAGTTTCTGTATCCTAGCACCCAATCCCCTACTTTATTTGAAATTCAAAAACTACAAGAGACAGCAAAGCTTCCCATCCACCAACCTATGTCTAAATAGAACAAATCCAGAGGCCGGATCAGGGAAGAATAGAGGACTGAGCAAACATCAAAACGGAAAGCCTCTGCCACTGACACTGAATAACAGAAATAAAGAGAAAAACAAGGCCGGGCTCAGTGGCTCAGTCTGTAAGCCCGCGTTTTGAGAGGCTGAGGTGAGTGAATTGCTTGAGCCCGCAGGTTCAAGACCTGCATGAGCAACTTGGCGAGACCTCATCTCTACAATAAATCAAAAACATTAGCTGAGCATGGTAGCGTGCACCTGTAGTTCCAGCTACTTGGAAGGCTGAGGTGGAAGGATCGCCGGAGCCCAGCAGGTCAAGGCTGCGGTGGCTGGAAACAGCCACTGCACTCCAGTCTGGGCGACTGAGTGAGACTCCAACTCAAAAAACAACAAAAAAGAGAAAAACAAGAGATATGTTACAAATGAAGAAAAACCAAAGGAAGACCACAGGCAATTTCAAGTGTACCAAATACAAAACTCCTAAAAAATCAGACCTTGGTGCCCAAATAATGGAGGTCACCAGCAACTGGCTGCAGAATAAGACATGGATTAGGGAATGGATGGAAACAGTGACTAAGACTCAGGAAAGACAAGATGCAACACTGAAAGAACTTGTAACAGAGATTTTGGCAATAAAAATTTTCATCCAGGAAATAAAAAATAAGATGACAAGCATGGAAAGCAGAATTAATCTAGCTGAAGAAAGAATCTCAGAACTTGAAGACCAGAACATGGAATTAATCCGATCTGTAAAAAACATAGAAGACTCAGAAAGAAAGAACAAAGCCTACAAGAGATGAGTGATTATATCAAGAGAGGCCAAACCTACATCTGATTGGAATCCAAGAAGATGAAAGAGAAATGAAAAACAACTTGGAGCAAATATTCCAGGAGGTAATCCAAGAAAACTTTCCCCATCTCACCAGAGATGTGACCAGTCAATCACAAGAGATACAGAGAACCCCCACAAGACATCAAATGAGAAGACCAACCCTTAGACACATAGTAATTCGCCGACATAAAATAGCACAAAAGAAAAAATCCTAAAGGCAGAAAGAGAGAAAGATCAGACTACCTATCAGGTAAAACCAACCAGAATAGCACCAGACCTATTGGCAGAAACACTACAAGCAAGAAGGGACTGGAGCCCTATATTCAAAGTCCTCAAATATAAACAATTTCAACCAAGAATTTCCTATCCAGTCAAGCTCAGCTTCATCAATGTTGGAGAATTAAAATCCTTCCCAGACATCCAATCCCTAAGAGATTATGCAGCTTCCGACCAGCTCTACAACAGACACTTAAAAAGGTATTAAGCACAGAAGAAAGAAAAAAAAAAAGAATGACCATACACTTCCCAAGAGAACAACAGAGCACAAAATCGACAGAGAATATAGCACAACAAGAAACTTGAAAATACACATATACATCAACCCCAAAGCCAAAAGAAAACAAGCAAAGAAAAAAACTTTGTAAGAACCTCATGGCAGGGATAAACAATCACATTTCAATAATCGGCCTGAATTTGAATGGACTAAATGCACCACTGAAAAGACACAGAATGGCAAAGAAACCAAGACCCAATTATTTGCTGCATCCAGGAGACTCATCTCACTCCAAGGGATGCACACAGACTTGAAGTTAAAGGATGGAAAACAAGTTTCAGGGCAAATGGATCACAAAAGAAGGCAGGAGCTGCAATCTTAATATCAGACAAAACAACCTTTAAGCTATCAAAAATTTAAAAAGATGCAAAAGGACACTATATAATGATAAAAGGTTCAATCCATCAACAAGAAATATCCATCCTAAACATATATGGCACCCAACACAGAGCACAAGTATTTATAAAGCAACCACCAAATAAATTAAAGAATGATATTGACTCAAACACTATTATAGCAGGGGACTTGAATTCCCCACTAACAGCCCTAGATAGATCAACAAGGCAAAAAAAATCAACAAGGAGATCCAGAACCTAAACTTGACACCTGACCAAATGGACTTAATAGATACCTACAGATTATACCACCCAACAACCACCAAATATA